ATGAGAGGAGCAAACTGTTCAACAACCAACCAACCAACACCAATACCTAACAAACAACAAGTTACTATAACTAATATATTTGGTTTTTTTTTTTTTTTTTTTTTTTTTTTTTTTTTTTTTTTTTGTAGATGAGGCAAACAAACAACTTAAAAATATGTCAACATGTGGGATATATTAGTAAAAAACTACATACAAACAAACAACTTACTAGAACTAATGTATTTATATAATAGATGTTTTTCAACCGGTTCAAGATTAATTTTGAATATATATTGGAAGTGTTAGCGTAATATATTCCATAATTTTGAAACTCTTGATGGACTGAAATACGTACTTATCGAGTAAAGCAAAAAATGTTTCACTATACTTATAACTTCATAAAACTAACCTCAAAATGAATTAGTTTATATCATTGGAAGTTTGAAAATGAAATGTATCAAATATTAATAATCTAAGGATCAATTTGTTTATAAATTTTAAAGTAAATTAAAGAATTTGTCCAAATATATGAAAAGTTTTTGGCTATGATTCGAATGATTCACAATATGTTTGTGGTTCCAAAATCCTCTTTTAGCTAGTTTGTTGCAAATGGTTTATTTTGCTATCTTCTTTCTAGTTTTAATAAAATTTAACCGTTAAGAAAATATATTGACAGTCACTATTTGTTGCACCTTTAACCGTTTGGCTCAGTTGGTTTTTCATGAGACAATCAAGGCTAAACTATGGAATATTATCATCTAACTAGAAGACCTGAGTGTTGAGTGCTCACACTATAGCGAGTTTCGAATGAATCAACATTGATCCAAACCATTTAACAAATTTTAAAATTTTATTCAAACCCGATTCATAACCCGTATGTTTTGAATAATAAAACTTATACCCTTACCTACCAATAAAACTTATATCCGCCCTATTAACCCAATTCATTTACAAATTAATTATTACACAATTATTATGCATTCCACAAAGTATTATCCATAAAATATGACATGAATCACATTTTGCTTAATACATAAAATAACACTTTTTAAAGACAAAACATCATAAATGGTCCATGTGGTTTTCCCAAATCTAGGATATAGTCCCTAACTTTAAAAAAATCTCATAGAAGATCCTTGTGGTTTTCAATTTCTATTGTTGTTGGTCCCCCACCTATCTAAAAAGACTTTTATCCTCTTTTTTAATTTATTTTCAAATTTCCTTAGATGATTTAATACAATATATATATATATATATATATATATATATATATATATATAACCTTTTTAACCTAAACTCTCTCTCTCTCTCCAGAACACAGTTCGTTTAACTCAAGATAAAAAGTCCCAAACCAGCACCATTAACGTCTAACCACTACCAAGTTGGCGGATAATGTCTTTGTTTTAGTTTTTGAATGTGTTAAATTTAGAGGTAATTTTGGTAAATATATATGGGCAGAATGGTGTTGTTTCCCTTTTAATATTTTGTAAAGTTTTTGTTTTTTTTTTTGCCTTGCTTTATGCTTTTTAAGCAGTGGCTTTAATATATCCGTCGTTTCCAAAAAAACGTCTGACCACTACCATCACACCACATGTGGTTTCTAGCAATGGCTTTTTCTGACGAGAGGTATGAGGAAGAGAAATGCTTGATCTTACAGTTGGTAATTTTGTGGGTGGATAATAGAGAAGAGGAATTAAAGAGATGATGATGGATGATCGACAAACAACGAGTAAGAGGCAGTCGTCGGCGTTGATGATGATTATGGGGAGAAAAGAGGTAAGCGAGATGGTAGTTTACAATGACGTGAAAGAAGGTGAAAGCCTAATTAGAACCAAAATTAACTTTGTCTATGTTTTGATTTGGATTAAACCTGAGAAACATCAATAGATTTGAAGGTGTATTTGGTAAAGTACGTGGAGATAGGAGGGGATAAGAAGACGTTAGGAAGACAAGGGGTGAATGAGGGGTCATCTGGAGGTGGTGTGCGACTGCTGGCGGAGAAGGGAGTGGTGGCAGTGTGGATTCAGGTGGATATAATGACTGCGGTGGAGGGATGTACGGAGGGATGCAGAACAACATGACGATGGGTTGTCACCACCACCAGATGTACAATTTAGGTTCTTGTCATCATCAAATGGGTATGAGGGAGGGAGTCCCACCACCTCCTTTCCTGTGCTCCTTAAATCCTTTTCCCCTATTTTCTATTATGTTACCAGTGAAACCACCACCTCCATCACAAACTCTTTCCCTTCACCAATGAAACTCGCCCCATCCAATCGCACAGTCACCCACAACGCTACCTGCTGAAAAAGCAATTTATCTCTCTTTATGTGTTTGTGTGAGTTGCAGGTTTTCAAAATAACAAACCAAAAACAACCCAAATGGCGTTGATGGCAAAAGCCCGACGACGATGGAAAGAGATCGACAATGGTTTCTTCCAATTATGAGAGAAGGATTTTTAAGGGGAGGGAGAAGACGGTGGGATGAGGATGGTGTCTATGCATTTTTAATTTTCAAAAAGTGTGTGTGTGTGTTTAAGTGTGTTTTCAATGTGTGTATGTATATGTTCTTTAGGAAG